TTTATTATTTACAGAAAGTCTATGTTAAAAGTATGGCTCGAAAACAAAGCGTACGGGAATAACCTATAGAACACTATAGCGAACGCTTCAGTGTGTTGGCGTTGCCAGTAATCTGATGATGTCATTAATTAGTTTTCTGATCGACATATTCTTTCTATATACCCAGTACAAGAGTCCGGATACCCGGATTTGTGACTGGAGTACTATTAATAAACATATGGAAATATTAGCTTACATATGACAAGTGTCGTTTGAATTGTTATCATAAATTAAAAATTAAAACAGTGTATTTTATGGGAGGGTTTTAGTTAGCAATGTGTCTATGATAAAACATTTCATTAAAGGGCGGTGGTCGTAGTGCTGCTCGTGTTCCTATTTCATGTACACGCGTTGTGTATGCCGCTATGAGTCCCATATCGAACAGGACGCAGCGCGACGACCACCGTCCTTCAAACCAATTACAGTTCTTTCGCCTTTACATACATGTTCACGTTTACTGATGGGGTTCGTTAATATAATCTGCATGACTCGTACACCCGTGTTGTTTTTATTGCTAAGATTATACGTGTACAATACTAGTACTCAATCCCGGTGTTTAGCTACCAGATGTTGTATTTATCGGACGGCGCGTGCAATGTCAGTACACACTACACGGAGTGCATACACGTATTGGTTTGAACACGGTTACTAGTAGCTGTGGTTTCAATTGTAAACGGTATGTAATGCATTCAGAATTAGATTGCAGATGCATGCTTTGACTGCGGCAAGCAGAATAGTGCGGGTTAGTAAGTCGCAGTTAGGTGCCAAGTAGCCAAGTTGACTGTGACACAGGTGATCTCGCTGTTATCGTTACATGCAATAATTGAACTGTACACTTCAGTGTGTGGTGTATGCCCGGGAACATGTGTAACACGTACGCAAGCTAAATCAATTATCTTTACATCAAATACAAACGCATGTATTTGACAAATTAACACTGGGTTTTGCTCACCACTGGTAAAGATTTAGATATTTACATAACACAGTCAAAAACATAATTGACGTTCCACTGAGTCCGCTTTGTGTCAGCTTGTCAGAGATTGTCTACAATATGTTTGAAATAGTTGAGGAACTCAAATGTATCCCATTAAAAACATTTCGCCGCTAAAAAAAACGTGAACTAAAAATCGGTTCACCGTAATGTGTGACACATTCTAACTACAAAAGTTTCTATAATCTCAGTCGAGCGTGGGTAGTAAATTTGAGTACTCATAATACTGGTGTGTTTTTTGGTTTAATATACCTGGCATTTTAATATATCTGACAGTTTCCTGTATCGAATGTCTGCATAGAAATGCACTATTATTTTCACTTAGGTGAAAAATTTACCGTCAGTATTTTGGAAGTTTGGTATAGGCAAATGTGTATATTGCGTGTTCTTTAAAGTCTATTGTCAGTTAACCAATTTAAAAACTATTGTTTCCTAGGTAACTGTGACGACAATTGGCATACTTTTAGTTATATTGCTAAAGACCACGTGAAAGTTGTTCACACAGATACATAATCTGAGTACGAGGATGATCCTCGTTCAGTTAAATTATATTTCTGATCTGTGCATGTGGAACACGATTCTGTATGAATGAAGAAGTGGTCTACTGCCCCTGGTCATAGATTACTTTCACACACGGCACAAACAAACTACTAGTATTCATTTTGTGGACTTATTTGTTGCTTACAACATTTAGAAGTAAATATATTGTCTCTAAATTTATATATAGCATCACAGTACACTTTCAAATGAGTAACGCCCTCTCGCGACCATTTGCTTCCTAAAAACATTTCGCTGGTTCCCGGCGTCTCCTGTCTTTTTTACGTTTCGCGCAAAGAACGTCGGGGAACCAACGAACCTTCATATTAGTAAATCGCTCAAAAAAATATTGTCATTGCGTCGCAGGCACACTTCATTCGTAGAGGGCGCAACATACATGAACGGTGTATTGGGTACAAGAAATGATCTTTTTGTTAATGAAGGTGGTCGTTGAAAAAAAAATGGAACAATATGAATTCATAAAATATGGACACAGGGGAACATATTTACATTGTTGTTTTTCTTGAAATCCTATCACGAGAGTTCTAATGAACCATTCCTTTAATTACCTCTCCCCCGCTGTCGGACACAGTCCTAACGAGGGCTAGTGGAATGAGCGGTATCCATACGTACGTAAATCGGTCGGTAGTTGAACAACATTTCTCAGCAACACACAAGCAGATTTCAAACATTGCGGATTACTGCGGCACGTTATTTTGTTTCATGATTAGATTGAATTTACTATTGTTGTATGATTTTTACTCAAACTTTACACATCATGCACATCATGTTTTTATATGAATCTTATTTGCATAGTGAATTAAATGCAACAATGGTTTCATGAACATTCACTATTACATACTGTTTTTTTTTTATAAATATTTTCGTTATTTGAGAATGTCCCGTTATATCCAGAATGGGCAATACATTAACAAAGGGAATTGTAATTTATGTTTGAATCTGTGATCTGTCCCAGTGCATAACAGTACACAATATTTATTACCGAGTGGTAAAAAAAGATAGGGGTTATTTGATCTTATTATTATGCACAAATGGAATTATAAGAAAGCTATCAGATACTACGACATGAATATTGGCAATATTAATGCTGTTGGATTTTTTTTAGTCGTAGGTAGGCGTGTCCCTAGCAATCATGATCACGTTCATAGCCAGCAGTTCAATGTATTTTCCCTTTATTTTTGTCCAGCTCTGCTTTTATCTGCATGATAGCCTTCCGACAATACTTTCCATATTTTTTAGGTTAATTTACGACTACTTATGCACCTTTTATGGACTCTTTAAAGTGCCTGTGAAATGGCTGCTATTTTCACGCATAAAATTATTCATTGACACATAAATATTATTATTTTTTATGTTTCTAAGCATGAATTATTTTTTTATGTGAAAAAATGTGTTTTAAACTCAATCTACAGCAACTTTATTTTTGTGTATTTTAAAACGAGGCTCCTCATTAGCTTCTTATTTGCATACATAAA